TGGCGCTGGGTAGGAGGACCCAGCTGCTGCTGGGAAGGAGGGCTGCATGGGAATCTGGAGAGGGCTGACGAAAGCAGTTTGTGCTGAAGGGATCATGGGTGGGGGTGGGGGAGGAGGTGGCCCCGAGGGGTTGTAATATTCGATGATCTGGGCTGGGAGCATCCTAATGAGAGAGGAAACACAGAGTCATTAAAGCAGCAACAGAGGGTCACATCTGAGGTTCTGACGTGGCTAACAGAAAGGCCTCCCCCAAACTCAACACATATTGTCATTTGGATTTAAAACACTTCAGGACATGCCCTGGACAGACTGGCTCAGTGGTTAGAGTGATGGCCCGCAGACTAAAGGGCCGCGGGTTCAATTTCAGTCAAGGGCACGTATCTCACTTGCAGGCTCACTCCTCGGCCCCAGTCAGGGCAGTGCAGGAGGCAATCAATCAATAAGTCTCTCTCACATCTCTGTCTCTCCCGTGCCTTCCACTCTATCTAAAAAAGCAATGAAAAAAATATCCTCAGGTGAGGGTTAACAAAACAAACAGGAAAAATCCAAACACTGCAGGACGCAAATATCCACCTGTCGGGTCAGCTATCCCACATTACTCACTGCAGTGGACTCCATGGTCATCCATTGAACTGCAGCCAGAAAATAACCATCCAAAAAGAAATTTCTTGTGAAATGCTAGAATAACTGACTGCAGAGGTAGGAACAGCAACACACACATCCTTTATACTGGGCATCTCAAAAGCAGGTGGCTCACAAACTTGTCGTATAGCGGTTCTGTGGCCAATCAGACTGGGAAAACTCTGTATTTTATACCCCATCTCCATGGAAATTCCCCAAGCCCACAATGCCCTTCAGAATATCAAAAGCTCTGAGAAGTCCTATAGCCAAGAAATCTGCTGCAGTCTATTTAGTCCAAGGTTTTCCAAACCAACTGGACCCCACACCCCTTTTAGCCTGATACTTAGAACAAACTTTGGGAGTCCTGGCTTAACAAGAACCAATGATGGGAAATAGCCAGGGTTGTGTGGTCAGGGATGTACATTTAGAAAGTCATACAGGCTGCTCTGGACTGAAGAATACATGGTTAAAGGAACATACATTCGACTTTCCTGGGCACTGACTCTATGGGGTAACTCTCTCAAGATTAGGGTTAAGCCAAAAGAGAGTGAGCTCAGACAGCCCACCAAAACCATCAAAATACAGGCGAGTGCTTAAATTACTAAACACTTGAACATGAGGGTCTTTTCTAGGGCTGTTTGAATTTTACCCAACTGACAGAAAACAAGGGGGAGAATGACGACTGGGCGCCAAGAGGTCAAGAAAGGAGACTATACAGCCCCGTGCAAGAAGTGTTCCCATTTGTGGTACGAATTCCCCATGGTTCCCCCAGGACATGTGGAGAAGTTCGAGGATCTGGGACAGGTTCACAAATCAGAGCTCCATCCTTTGCCAATGCCTGGCCTTAACAACCCACTCACACATACACGTGTACGTGCGTTAAGGGAGCGTGCACATGAATACAGACACTAACCTACGATTTATCTGTAATAAAAAGGAAAGTAGCATGACACTGAATTTTTTAACAGAATTTGTCATAAGCAACAGTATTCATAGTCAGTCATTCTGGGCTGCATTCTGGCCTCTAAAGTACGAGTACCCAATTAAATTGTTATACCACACACAGCAAGATTCCACTGCAACAGGGAGCAGCAATGAGAGTGCAAGGGCTACAGAATTACCCGTAGTCTGCTGGAGCCATGGGTGCCGAGGCCTGGGACCCCTCTGCGGCCTGTGGTGGGGGTGGTGGAGGTGGCTGCTGAGGTCTGTTCAGGGCCATGTGCCTCGCAGAGGCAGAGGGGGGTCGGTACTCATGCTCGGGGGCCTGGCTGGCTGGCCCATGCGGCAGCGCGTCACCTGCTGTGTATGAAGGGGTGACGGGCTGTGCGTGCAGAGAATGGTTGGGAGTGGCTGGGTAAGAGTAATCTGTGACATCCGATGCGTGAGACCTGCCGGTGAAGAAAAGGGTGGGAGAAATTTAAATTAAGCTCAAAAGATTTCTCCTAACAGGCGTATAAGCATATATTTGAACAATAACATCGCCAATGCACAGAAATCACACATTTATTTCCTTTACTGTCAACTAGGTTTAGCCTCATGAGCACTTCCAAGCAACAACGTCATGACTACGTTAGCAGCGAGCCCAGTGTTACATGGATACAGAGTCACAGCTTCAACGTGAGTAGGTCAGACAGATCGGCAAGCAGGGACCAGCAGGGCCCACCTGACAGTGTCTCAGCAAACTCTTGTGGAGAGAAGGCTACAAGACAAGTTCCATTTAATTTAAAACAGCATTGAAGGTAGAGGACTTCAGTGGCCATGAAACTGACAGCATATCATTAGAAATTACAAAAGGGCAGGTGAACTGGGTAAATATTAACAGTAAGAACAGAAAAAGAAATCAACAGCATAGTACGGTGATAGTTTTCTTAAACAGAAGAAATGTATTCAGCCAAAAAGGAAAGAACATGGAGCATCACGGGAGGCCTCCTGCGTTCTCTGAATGCACAGTTGGGTGAAGTGGAAGGGATGGAGGCTGTGCATTAGTTGACAGAGCTCAGACAGATGCCAGCCAGGCCCTTGTGAGGGGGCACAGGGACTCGTGAAGGTCGCAGCTGCGCAGCGCCACGGCGTTAGTAACAGTCGCGCTCCTGGCCTGGTTACAGGGCACGTGGTCAGTATGGGGGCTGCACATCCTCTCATGACGGCCAAAGCAAGGTGGGCAGCCCGAGGCTGGCAATCAAACAGCAAAATGACAAACCCTCTGGGTGTTCTGTCCTCTCCCGCGTTCCCTGCCTGCCCCAGCGTCCTCACGTCGCTCATAAACTCAATGCCCATTTTCCGCCTCTCCCACTCTTCTTTTCTTGTTCTCACTTTTCTCACATTTATTTGCTGGCTTCGGGTAGGATTCAGCTTGTGTTTCTCTCTCTGAAGGAAACAGGCAGACACAGGTGGGGATGTGGAGAAGCAGGGGAGACACCGATTGAACCTGGATCTTGGGACCCAGACAGTGGCTTCCCTTAACTGGAGCAGCGCAGGGCGTAGCAAGGCTCTCTACATGACAAGAGACTGCTGCTGCTTTTCTCTTTCCCCGCTAACAGCAGTGTAATAACAACTAATAACTCGCCTTTTCCTTCCCTAACTGCAGTATAAATTCAATATACGGTGCACATATGATTATGTCTTTAAACTATGTAAACTGCTGGCAAGAAAGTTAAAACTATTTTTAATGAGGGAACAACCTAACCTGTATTTAGATTTGGCATATTTTTACAATGTAAACAACTAAAACTCTGGAGTCACTGGTGATGTGTGCTTGACTGTGTGTGTGACCAAGTCACAGGCTATGTGTACAATTTCTAAAGGAAACAAAGTTATCTAGAAAAATAGAGTGCTTTTCATGAGATGAAGAGCTGGTAATTGTAAATATTCTGGAATAATTTAGAGTGCTATCCTTACACAGTAGCTTTGAGACACAAGCCAAAAGGAGCCAACAAAAGGGAGGGTATCCAGGCGGATGAGTGAGTAGAGGAGCAGGCAGAGAACGTCCGCACTCGGGAATTACAGCAGGAGAGTTGTGGAGGGCAGGACCTGGAGGACGGTGAGCAGGACAGAGGACTGGCCAGTTTAAGAGTAAAGGCCCATCTAAAGGGGAACCCCAGTGGGCTGGAGGAGAGCTGAGGAGTGGGGTGACTGATGGGAGACAAAGGCCCTCATGCAGGAAGGTAGAAATCAGCCAGAGAGACATATACCAATGTGGAGATGAGTGGGTTGGTCTTGTGACTATCTGGTAGGAGATAGTATGGAAACAAGAAGAAATATAAGCAGTGGAGACTCAGTGGGAGAATCCAGTGACTCCCCCAGGGTTTTGTGGGTAACAGGTGGGCAGAGTCAGAGCTAGAACGTAGGGCCCAGAATAGGATGAGAAACAGCTGGCATGGAGTCCGCACACCTCCCAGGTAACGGTGAGAGAGAGCAGGAGGCCAGCATTTAATCAATTCTCATCCTAAATTTACACTTAGAATCAAGCCACTGCTGATAATCTAGAGAGAAAGCAAAAATTTATGATTAGCTTATGTGAACTTGGTTAAAATATATTACTTATATGAACAGTTTTATTATATACAAGGTATGAAACTTAACATTCAAATTTCCCTCAGTTATCCTGAATACATCCATTAAAAACCAAATAATACTTAAAATATGAATATAAAAAAATTAAAAAGTCAAAAGCCAGAAAATAGAGAGCATGATTTCAATTTCATAAATGAAAAACATACACCTGTTCAGAAAAAAGACCAAAAGAAAAAAAACACTAAAATGTAAACTGTGGTTTCTCTGGATAACAGGATTATGGATAATATTTTAATGTTTTCTGTAATTTCCAAATATAAAAAAACTCATTTTATAGTAAGAAAAAGTGATACACTTTAGTAAAATAAAAAAATTTCTAAATTAATTTAAGGAATGTAACCCAAGTAAAATGATTAATTTTAATCTATTTATCTGGTACTTGTATGATAGTGAGAGGCCGTGAAAAACAGTATGAGACAAAAGGAAATTCTGAAGAAATAAAACTGATATTCCACTTGCCTTTTGAAAAATAAAAGTGAAGATATATCTAAAAACACAGATACAAAGGCAGAATACTAAATCATCTGAATGACCACCGATTTTATACCCAGCACGGAGCACTCTAATCACTGATGTTAGAATGAGCATCAACCACTCAACTGAGGGATTAAAAAATAATTTTTCCATCTGTACATATTGAAACGAAAGAGTATATATGGAGCATTATAAAATAAAGAATACGTTGTGCATGAGTAAACAATACAACTAAATTAATTGGGAAAAAAACCAAAAAGCAAACTGACATCGTGGAAGCTCTCAAGTGCTTCTCCCCACCCAAAGAACTTGAGCAGAACTGGATCATCATTCTTCCTGCTGAAAGAAACAAACTGACATAAAGATTCAAACTTGAGTTCCAATAATTCTCTAATATTTCGCAGATAACAACTTTTACAGAAAAATTACCTAGGATGTGCCTCATATCCAACCAATGACTTACAGCCTTTCTGGGGTAGGAGTATTTACAGGCCCTGTAACTACCAAATGGTAAGCAGCTTCTGTATGCAGAGTCTGTGCTAAACACTGAGGTTATAGAGATCAAATTTATTTTGAAAGGACACAGATCAAAGGCCAGGTCAAGGTTGTTGCTGTTTTTGAAACATCCTTCAGTCACATAAGAATTCTCTGTTCAAATTTTTAAATGCTAATGGAAGACTTTAAGAGATTGTGCAAATAAATGCAAAACAACTTTACAAAAGCAGAAATAGGAAATTAAACCATAAGTAAAAATTGACTAGTCAGTTCCTATTGTTCAATGAGTCCCTTTTGTGACAAATGTGACTTATTGATTGCATCAATCACACCTGCAAAAAATATTTTTACTTAATAGCTGACATAATTTTAAAGTAAACACCAACGGAATTCTCCTGAAATCAGAACACATAAGATTAGTGAGCTGAAGAAATAAATATCTCTTTTGTTCATCACTTTTTTAAAAGATCAAAGAGAGCAATAAAGTTATTATTCCTTGATCACATCAATTACTACCTACCAATCATTTTTTGATATCAAGTAGCAAAAGAAATTCAACATTTAAGTTAAAGAGCAAGACAAAGAATTAAATGATTAAAATAAAAATGTAAGTCAGTGGCAGTCATTAAGCCCAAATTTAGAATCCATGTTCAAACACTACAAATCTAGATTAACTAAGTCAGAGATGTGGAAAATCATACAATGTAACCCAATGTAAAATAAAACTGCTTTAAAGTATTATTTCAAAATTAAAATTATAGATAGATAGATAGATAGATAGATAGATAGATAGATAGATAGATAGATATAAATAAATAAATTTTTAAGGAAAGAGGTGAAACATGCTGTGGCATCTAAATACCAAATCTACTATTACTAGTCATTTCCAAAGATTATTAAGCACAGCAGTGCTCAGAGGCATTGCTGCACGCACACACGCACGCGAGCGCACACACACCTAGTATCCGGGGACAGGGACCCCTCGGAAGACGCTCCGTGGTACACACTCTGAGACAACCTGTTGTCGGGTCTGAGCTCTTTGTCATACGCCATCATATTCCACTCCTGGCGCCTGTTTCTGGCCTTTCTAACCTTTTTCACCTCCCGGGTCGTGCCATCTACACGCTTTTGCTCCTGAGGTCCAGGAAAAGCAAGCAAGCATGCCGAGACAGAAGGGAGAGGAAAACAAGTTAAATCAGTTATAATGCTCAGGAAACAAGCCTGGTGCGCAGGCAAGAGACAGTCCCTTCCCGTCACTCTAAGGTTAGAAAAGGCTAGCACAGCGCACTCTTACCCAACACAGACCCAACGGAAAGTAACCAATACTGAACTATTTAACCCGAAGAAATAAAAATTACTCTGCTGCAACTACCAGAATTGCTTACCATAATTTTTAGTAAAGAATTCTCACCTTACTGGGCTTTTAGCTTGTTTAAAATATACTGTACCTTTTAGATCTATATTATACAGATGAAATGCCCGATGGTACCACACAGAGAAATCATTTCCCACCTCTGCACAATTTTGACTGGCTTGTTAGCAGGCAATCATCTTTCAAAAAATAATTCAACGTGTTCTATTTCCAGTTTCTAAAAGAAATATTTAAGCTAATCCTGCAATGAGCTGAACCCAAAACAAAAACAAGGTAAGAACTTACCTTCCCATACAAAGACTCATTCTTGCTCCAGCCCTACTTTGCCAGCAAAAATGTATCCAATAAATACTTGGGTCCCACAAAGGTGCTTCTTTAAAGGCAAGAACAATTATTTCTCTCTGTATTTATGTTTTACCTGTTTCCCTCATAAAATTTTATTACTTCTAAGGACAAGAAATATATAACCTCTGCGTCCTACACTCTTACAGTCCCTCCACACAGGATTTCACCTCGAGTGCAGACTCAAACAATGCTGATAAATGATCAAACCCAGGTGAGCTTAGAGGCTTCCTCTGTCCCAGCCCATCGATAATACAAAAGGCAAACAACAACAGCAAGGAGGCAAGTGCCTGCCCTCGTGGAGCTTGCAGGCCAGTGGAGGAAGCCTACAAAACCACAGGAATAAATGTACAATTACAAAATGTAGTAAAACATAAATGTACCACGTGTAGAAGGCTGTCTGGTCTGGAAGTTAGGGAACAGCATCTGGAGTGAGTGAGAGGGAAGACCTGTGTATGAGTGGGACCTGATTCTGCAGAGGAGCCCGAGTCCGAGGTGCCAAGCGGGCAGAGTGGGCAAGGCCTCCGAGGAGGAGGGAGGGCATCACTTTAGGGGAAATGAAAGAAGGTGAGTGGCGAATGAGGGTGAATGGCCCCAGAGATCAGAAAGGTAGGCAAGACCTTAAAGGCTATGTTAAAAATGTTGTTCATCCCAAGAACAGTGGGAAACCACGGAAGAATAATAAGGGAAGGGCTGACAGACTGAAGAGGAAGAGGCATTTGAAAAGATCCCTCTGCGTTGTGGAGAATAGGTTTAATGGGAAAGTAAGAAAGCGCCTCAGGTGCTGTAGGTGAGAGGATGGTAGGTGGTTCACGGTGGCAGCGAAGGCAATGACTAGACTGCTTTTAGGTATGAAGGAGGCGCAGACAATGTATTGGCAAAGAATGTGAACATGAAATTCACAGAACATACTTAAAGAGATAATAAAGATGAAAAAATGTGTAATACAAATTCGATTTTTTGAGGGGGAGGAGGGCTCATAAAAAAATAATAAAAATAATAATATCCAGGACTGGAGAAGGCCTGTCAAGAGTATAAACTGGTTCAAGTGTTTTCAGAGTCAGGGGCAATATGATGGTATCTTTCAAAATTTAAAACTCACATTTGAATTCTAGGAATTTACCTCGAAGAAACATCTGCATGTGAGTACAGGGATACCTACTGCAGTACTGTAGTAGTAATAATTTAGAAACAACCTAAATATTCGTTTACTCCAATAATGGGCAAATCGTTTGATTTGTTCCAGCCATACAGTGGAATACTATACAACTCTTAAAAAGAATGAAGTACATCTCCAATTATGTCAATTTATGTGTATGTCTGTGTGTGTATAAGTTGTGTGTAGTACAATTCTATATAAAAATACTTTGTGAAATGAATATGCACCTATTTATGAATACTTGAAAAGAAAAGCTCTAAATCTAAAAATATGCATGCCAAACTACTAAGTGTTAATGTAGTTAGTTATGCCCAGGGAAGGGAAAAACAAATTTTCTAAACTAATGTATTTACTTTAGTGTAATTTGAACATTTTACAACCTGCATGTATTGTTTGTATACTTTAAAAAACCAACAAAAAACCAACAAAAAAACCCACCACCAATAACAACAAAAAGGAGGGAAATTTCAATGGATTCTAATATACATCCTGATTAAGAACCACTGTATTAAATTAATTAGACTATCCCCTTTACCTTTAAGAGATGTATGTTTGACATATTTAGGAATTAAGTGTTATAATAACTCTCTCTACAATAGTTTGGCACCCAAATTTACCCATCAACATGCACACCACAAACACACACACAGACACACACACAGGAACCATGTGTGATGTTCGGTGATGCATCTATACTCCAACTACACTGGCCTACATTCAAATCCCTAGAAAATGCCAAACTGTTTCCTAGCCCAGAATGATCTTAGCTACTTCTACTTAAAAGGCTCCTTGGTTTTGAAGCACCCGCCCCCTCTGCCCTCTACTCCTCCAGCACCCTTCACCTGTGCACACACATGTACTCACGAGCACACATGTCCCCACACACTGACTTGGATCTTAGTGAAAGACACCTCGAGAGGCCATCCTTGACACTCCACTTCCTCTTCACTGTCACTCCCCCTGGTCATCTCACCCACAGCACCATATTTCTCCTTCACTACACTTACCAGCATTATAACTACATACTTCTAATTACATATTTATGTGCATAATTTAAAAATGTTTTTAATGTATTTCTCATCCCAAATTTTCTCAACTAATTTTCCTTCAGATAGACTTGTCAGTTCCAAATTGAAAGTGATTTGCATTCCAGAACCCCTGGAGGATTTCCAGAACGAAGGATATCTTGCCTCATTTTCTGCTCCTATATAGAGCAGATCTGTATTACACTTTTGAATTTCTTTCCCTCTTTATGAGTTCCAGAGGACTGCTTAATGTTTGTTTCCCCTACTCTATTGCAATCTCCATGAGGGTGGTAATTCTATCATTTTTACCACTGTTTATTCAGCATTTAAAGTCTTTTTTATAAAAAAGAATCATTACATAAATGACTGAATAAAAAATCCTTATCATATTTTTATGTGTTTGAAGAATGTGGAATGAAACAAAACTGCCAAGGAAATGACAACTAATTTTGATGACACAACAATCATACGTAGATTGAGGCTGTTTCCCCCAAAGAACACTGGTGACAAAATTAAATATTTTTGCCAAAAGTATCACTGAGAAGGGAAACCTAGAGAGTAATTTGAAAGAACAGGCACAGTTTAAAGGAAATTGCTCTTATAAGCCCTGGGGTTTTGCCCTGTTACTACCAAGAGGTATGGGGATTGGGACCAACAAGACTTTAAGTAAATCTGTTTCTTTCCTGTCCCAGAGAATGGGGTCTTCCATTTCTTCACTTGAATACTTTATAGTTTCTTAGCCTGACTACTCCTCCACTTGAGTACTCAGTAACTCTTCCAAGATTTCCCAGTTAATCCCAACCCACGAGCACAAGAAGGGAGGATGACTAACCAAGCCTCTGGAACTCTCTCCTAGAATTCAGTGGGGACATCTTACAGTCTGCAAACTGTTTTCATGTTTCCTGCCTTAAATCCTGATTTCAAATTTCAAATTCCCTTCCATCCCAAAGTGTCGCTCCTGCTGAGCCAAGACACTGAAATGCCACCAAATCTTAAGGCCACAAACTCACAAAAAGGTAAGCATTTCTCTTAACTAAAGCACTCTGTCAAGCAAACCAGGTGGTCATTTTTTTAAAAACATAGCTTACATACAAAACATCTTAGCAAATGTTAGCCTTTAGAGAATTAATTCTTCTCAGTGGCTTAAACCTAATTTCTGGGCCCCAAAGGAACAATTTTCAAAACAGAAGTCCCCACACCCGAGTAGAGTGGGCTCGTCCCTCCAGAGTGCGTACATGCAGCACTCAACCCGCAGACCTGCAGGGACCTTGCCTTCCACTTGCCCACCAAGGGAGTCTCATCCGTCTGTAAAAACCATCCTCTGAGCCTGCAGATCACGTGCTTTTCAATCCAATATGAACAGCTCACCAAAGCATTAATTACAGCTAGGTGGCAACCCCATTATGAAGAAAGCTTTAAAGCGACAGAAGCAGATCATTATTTCTGATATGGAATGTTGACTGCTTTATGAAATTTGAAAGAACAGAAGAAAAGTTCTAAAACATGGTTACAAACACAACAAATTTTAGCCACTACTTCTGTGAAAGTGAAAGAAGTGTTAAGCACCAAATCCAGAGCATCTACTGAAAAACAGTATTGCTGTGTTAGACAGACTTGTCGGTATCTTCACGTATGAAGTACAATCTCTAAAAACCTCCATCACTAAATCCAACGTCTCAGCCATTCAAGTAAAGAAGTTACTGATTTCTTTCCAAACAAGAATCCACTTACACATTTATATGCGCAGTTCCCCTAATGGAATTATTTACCTTTTGACGCCTTTTCTCTTTCCTTTTGTCTTCTGTGTCCTGTAGCATTTTTTCTTTCCAGAGGTCAAAGAAATAGGAAGGATCAGTGTAGAATTTCAGCCCGTCCTTTTTATCATCTCTGTAAGTCCAGGTATTGCAAACAAGCCAAGGAAAAGGCTGTTAGATACCTTCATACGGGGTCAACATTCTCTTTTAACTCTGGAGATTATAGCATCTGCATGGGGCATTTTAACTGTCCTATACACTATTACGTCCCTCAGATTTCCTTATTTGAAAAAAAAAGTATAAATATTCAAGAACAGCAACTTTTTCTAGAATTAGGTAAAAAGGTACTCTTGCAAATTTAGATTCAAATATAGAAAAGTGCTCCTAAATATCACAGTATGGCTCATAAATGGTAATAATACCTCAATTATTTCAGGAAATGTTCTGTTTAATTCAACAGGGGGCTACACACGGAAACAGATGGATTCTTTATACACACAATTTACTTTTACTCTGGAGTGTCCATGTTATGAGGATAAAGATTAGTAAGTACTCTGTCCCTTTTTCTCAACCAGGTTTGCCCAATAGCTAAAAATTCATTTAGGAAAGAACCAAAACATTCATGGTGTGTAAATGTAACTAAGAAAAACAGTGATGCAATATTTTTAAAGTGGAAGTAACCCACAGAGAAAATTCACTTGTATCCTCTTGATTTTCAAGCACTGCTATAATTACTATGATCTAGAGAATGCTCCAAGTCATTGTATAAGTTATTCACTTATCATAAATCCAATAGTAATGCAGCCTGCATGAATCTAAAGTTGTAGAATAAATCAATAGTAAATCTCAAACTAATCATGATATGAAATAAACAATCTATTCTATCAATGCTTTAAAAGTATCCGCCTATGGATTACCTTCAAGAGGAAGTAAAACACACTGCAAATCAGTATTTCACTAAGTCGTTTAAAGCACAGAGAGGAAGCAAAAATTAATAAATTAAGTATAGGAAAAAGTTTATACCCATATAGTCAAAGAAAGCTAAGTGAATTATTCCAGGGGCAAAGCGGTCTGTCCTTGCATCTCCTGCCCTGCCATGTTCCACAAGCTCCTAATCAAAGGATAAAGGCCTTAATCCCTGAGGGCTACTCTGGTCACTCTCTCTGAAAACCACTAACAAACCAGTGCACTGCACTATATACTTTAACCTTAGGTTACTTAAAATCCTTCCTTTCTTTTCCAAATTCCCTAATTGATAAGCAACCTGCATTATTAATAACATTAATAATTTCATTAATAACATTATTGTGAAAAACATAATTTGTTTCCCTAAATAATAGGCCTTCAATATAGATGATGATATAGAAAATCAGAGCATGAAGTTGCTGCAAAGTTTAAGCTGTATAATAAAATGCACATTTTAAAAAATGGAGCAGAAACTTGCATAAGTTAACAAATGTTGATCTTGACATAAAAACATAAGCAGAAATGTCCTATGTTTATGGCAACTAAACACTTGATTTTTCAGTCACATTGTAATTCTCATATATTAACTGTGCTGTGACAGTGTCATACTTAAGCTCAAATGCAAAAGCTTTACATACCCAAAATACTACTGTACTGAGCAAAAAAGAAAAAAAACGAGAGAGAGGACTCAAGGACATGGACAACAGTGTGGCGATTGTGTGTGTGTGTGTGTGTGTAGGTGGAAGAGGACATAGAGGGGATACATGGTGATGGGAAAAATAAAAATTTAAATTACATTAAATTTTTTTAAAAAGTAGATCTGAATTGGCACTTCTATTCTTAAACAGAGTCAAAGACATTTTTATTTTCTATAAAACTAAATATACACATACAATATATATGAAAGTCAATTGTTTTTATGCCATTAAAAATTTTAAATCACCACAAATATTTCATCTTGATCTCGATTATTCAAATATAAGTGGTTAGTTGAATTTTCTGTGTTTTTTCCTTTAGAACAGAATACTTAGTGAGGTTTCTTAGGAAAATTTTAGTAAGCAAGCCCTTGTGGCTCCCAGTGCCTAAGTAAAGTTGACATTATTGCCCAAAAATGCCTACTGAACACAAGCAAAATTACAAGTTAGAACATCAGGCTTACAATAGCACTACTTACATATATCATTAATTTTAAATCAGCATGCTAAAGCCTCCAGAAAAGTATACTTGTTTCTTAGAAAAACATGGCATCTTGCTCCTCTCCGTGAGCATGTCCATGGGCGCTCACACTTCTTGAGAGAACCTTCCTCCCAGTGCTGAGAGAAAGGGGTGTAGTGTGAACTGCTGCTTTCCCAGCAGAGCTGTAGGTCCAAACTCTGACTCTTGGACCATGAGGAGGGACAGGAATTCAGACCAAGAAAAACTCTGGGCACCCTTTGAGGAAGCAGTAAATGGAAGCAAAGAACTCACTGAATTCTGCAAGGCCTGGGCAGGAGCATCACCCACAGGGCTAACCCCGAGGGCCGTGAGGACCACTCCCCACCACAGCCTGCTCATCAGGGGCCGCAGGAGCGAGCGCCACGGACGGGTCAAAAGGTGGGAGAGGGACTCGATGTGCAATGAGAAAGCATATGAAAAAGGGAGACAGGAAAGAAAGTGACAGAAAATATGGAAAGAAAGCACTGATGTGGGAGGTAGCACAGGTGCTGTAAAAAAGTATTTTTAGTTTCTTAATGTTAATTTTTTGCACTACTTATTTTTCATTCTTTTTCTTGGAAGTCTGGTCCTAATAATGTGTCCTACCATTTTACAATAACAGAAAGCTAATTTGTTGACTGTATTTTCACTCCTGAAAACTCCTAATGCTGCAGAATACATTTTTCTAAATTAAATAACAAGCGTCCCCGCAGAGCTGAAATGCTGACAGTTAGCTTGCTGCATGACAGCTGAACTGCGCAGTCCCTTCAGCACTGATGCTGACTCTGAGGCGCGACATAACCACACACAACATGAATGCGCTCACTTCCACTTAAGATGTTTACATTGAAAAGCTAAAATTAGAATTCACACTTTTCTTGGTAGGCTTATCTGTATTTCGAAATACTAAAGCTTTAACAATTCTGTACCAATGACTAATTTCACCGCCTGTAATACTGTAGTTCTTATTGTCAAAGTTCGGAAGATACTTTCACAGCACTGTCGCCCTCTTCCAACTCAGCTGCACTGACAGGGCCCTGGAACGCCTGAGCCATACCTGTAGGGCGTGAGAATGTTCAGAGGAGGTGGTTTATCACTCTGGTTGTAGATGTCAGCAACAGGGTTAGGAATGCTGTTCTTTGAAACCACCTGCTGGTCTTGGACTGTGGAACTTTTGAAAGCTTTTTTCATGTTGATATCCTGTAGTGACACTATTTAGAGAAAAGTCCCCAAGTTGAATAATATAAAAGTATTTAAACTGTTTAGAAATAAGTATAATTTGAGTCACAATCATAAACATCTCCTAGAATAACCAAATACTGTTTTTCATTAAAAAACATGCTGAAGCGGCATGTTGTGTTCCTTCCCTCTTATCAATCACAGTGATCTCTATGAAGTCATGTCTTTCTCTTTTGCAGTGATGTAATTACTTCATTGAACCTAATGTTACAGCATCATTCTTTATTTAAATACTATTCATTGGAAATCACACAGAAATATGAGTATAAAAGTCATGTAAATACATAGATTTGCACATCCTGGGGGTGGGGGTGGGACTTGAACAGTTAATACCAGTTTAATTATAATACATGTAGGAAAGACTTCTGCAGAAAATTTTAAAACTGCAACAAAAGGCATTAAGTTTTTCTGACACCATCATTAAGGAGAGATAGCAAAGCTTTCCAACATAAAGTCCTAGAAATTAAGTAGCCTGATATAAAATTATACTAAGGAATAAGAAAATCAGGGCTGATTATATTTACTTCTTGTGTTTGTACAACTTTACTTTTCATGTATTTACTCATCTGACTTTGACACAAGCTTTTTGAGGCGAGCTTGACCAATGGAACTGAGACTCAGGATATACTGTAAAATCTCATGGAATTTAAGCTACAGGTTATCCTTTTCCAGTGTAAGGTTTATCACAAGAATTTCCATTGTGAGACAGAGAGAACAAACACCTAAAGGAAGAGAAGTAAATATTTAAAAATCACTTTGATACCAATTTGAAAAGTGAATGATTGATTTAAGACGTTAAAAACTCCTTCTCTGAAAAAATCAAGTAGGTATTAAAATTTTAGTTTTTTAAAAATAAATGATAAATTTAAAAAATCAGATTAAAAAGAGCATGCCTCTAGCTTGACCATATTGTTGGAAAAGTCACTAAGAATGCTTATATAATGGATATTAAAATTTCAGTGTTCTACATTTTTGTTCAATCTCTAATAGTAATTTAATTCTGACCTTTGAAAAAGACATAAGGATGAGTAAATATTTTTTTTAATGAGAGATGAATTCCACATTAAAAAAAACCCTTCACTTTTTATTACTACTACTATTATAGGTCTAGTAGAAAAATCAGATACTAGGATCATTTTAATGCAATAAGAGAAACAGTAACTACCATTATGTAAAGGTAAAAATAATTTTTAATCTGAACATTTTTCTCAAAGTAAAAATGAAATGGCATTTCTTATACCTTTTTTACAGATTTTTCCCCAGTCTAATCTCAATCCTTCATTCAAAAGATACAGAAAGTGAAGTTTTAAAAAGGAATTGAGTTTTAATTTTGTTGAAACTACCACAACTACTCAGTGCTTGCCAATATGAACATTATTTTAAGAACCTGAGTCCTAAAGGCTTTCAGTAAATGCTGTTGCTGAAAAGGTAAACCACCAAGATTATTTACAGGCATCAACCTTAACAAGAATATAGGGTAGAAGCCTTTATTCACTCTGTCGCACTCTGCATGTATAACCCTCCCTCTTAGTTGGACCATACCTTTGGATTGATTCTGTAATTTTTAGGTAATAAAGTATCTTTAAAATAACTACTAATAACCTAAATTAGGACTACTAATACTGAAAGCATTCAAAGAATCTTTTAAAACAAATACTACATGTGTAATTAAAAAAAAAAAAGAATATGGCATATGAGACAGACGAGATATGAATCTTTTAATTGCTAATTAACCCAAGTTGTGGGTTGTTCCCCCTCACTATTTTTCTAGCAAAAGACAAGATGAAGTATCAGCCTAGTACCCCAAGGAAAAAGCAGTAACTGCCCTGCAATTAATTACTACCATCTTGTCAAGATCACTGCTAGCTCACTGCTTTCGTGCAATTACCTACCCTCTTCCACTGTCGAATCTAGCTGGGTAACTTTGACAGCAAGGCGATCAATTCTGTCTTGAAGAGAATTTGCTCTGATGTAAAAGTTGTTAGCCTCATTAAACAACTCACCAAATATGTCTTCAGCATGTTTGCCTATAAGAGAAAATGAATGGAGAGAGCCATCTGTTAAGAACTGCTGAGGCGGCCTTCACACATTCTCACCAACACTGATTACTGTCAACACGGGATTTGGTGCAAATGATTATAAAAATAGAGTGTCACAGTCAGGGGCCTTTAGAAGTTTTGAAAATTTATTAGGATTGTTCACACGTATCTGAAATTGACCCAACATTGTAGAATTTTAAAATACCCCAGATAAGTACAGAATTTTTATTTAATTGCTACATGAACTATTATGCAAGTTGTTTCCCATTAAATTAAACTTCTTTGGAAAAAAATTACTCTGATTTTGCATCTTTGCGTATAAATAGAATCTCAGGACCTAAACTTTCCTTTTACTTCCAAGGATAAATCTCGTGGGTTCAATCTTGGTGTTGTACATTCATTTCAATGAAATCCAGCTTATCAATAAATCATATTGGTTTCTAAATTTAGGATTTTATCTTATTCACAATTAGAAACATTAGGTATCTCACACTGTGCCTAACACTTTCCAGTGGCATTAAATTGTTCTAATTCATATTTTGAAATCTAGGTATATAGTGCTGACTCTGGAACTCTCCAAACTCAGCATTTTGAATTTTGAGTTAAATTTTTCTGTAGGGATCACCTCTACATTCTTCTGAGTGCTAGACACAACTACTTAATACATTTCTGAAAATCTGACAGGCAAGATAGGAATCAGATCTGTCTATGTTGACTTTCCAAGTCCTACCCCCACTCCTTTATTCATTCAACATTTAGCAACTGCCTACTCTGAGTATGCCAGGCATATGTGTATCCTATCTCCTCTGACAGAGAAACTTCCTTTTTAAGAGAAACTTCCTTTTTAAGAACAGTGTTAGGCTCACAGCAGTTTAGCAGAAAGCAGAATTCCTGCATACCCGTCCCACACATGCACAGCCCCCCACTATTAACATCCAGCACCACAGTGGTACATTTGCTCTAACTGATGAACCCACACTGACACAGCAGCAGCATCCAAAGTCCAGTTTACACTGGGGTTCAATCTTGGTGTTGTACATTCATTTTAATGAAATCCAGCTTATCAATTATTTATTTCATTTGTCACACTTTGGTGTTATATCTAAAAAATCATCACTATAGGTCAATTAGATTTTCTTCTATGTTCTCTTCTAGTTTTATAGTTTTATATTTAGGCCTGTGGTCCATTTTGAGTTAATTCTTGGGAAGGGCATAAGGCCTTTGTTAAGACTTATCATTTCTTTTATTTGCATATTCTATCAATTTGTCACTCAAATGAGAAGAGAACCTGAACCTTCCAGAAAAAAAAACTTACTTGGAGCCAGAATAACCATTACCTTTTCATAGTGTTTCACGGTGCTCCCACATCCACTTTCCACACTCTCGGCTGTAATCCACAAGGCCGTACACCTACATCTACAAGAGTGAGAACTGCTCTGTCTATTCAGAGCTGTAGCCCTAGCCTAGAGCAATGCCTCCTGGCACTCACCTGTTCAATGAATTAGTGACCTCCAGAGGTAAACAGGGAGGTATTGCTTTCACTTTCCAGATGAGCAAACAGCAGCAGAAATATGGTCTGTTCAAATCTCATGACTAGTAAGTGGGAGAAATAGATGAAACAAAAACTTGGTCTTCTAACTTCTCATTCCCTGCTCTTATATATTTTCCTGAACTGCCTTGGCTAGCAATGAGCAACTTCCATGAATTATTTCAGGCCATGAGACACTGATAATTTCCTGTTTACTTAATAAAATGAACTAAAATATTTTTCTGCTTAAATGGTTACTTATAGACATTAGATAAGTATTTATGAATTTAAATTAGTATGATTCTGTAAATTCTAATAGTGTAACTGTCTTAACAAGAGGAACTTTCTAGTAAAATACGAGAGCAATAAAGAAATCAATAAAAACACGCGCCCCCCAGTTGAGCAGTAAAACGTTTTTCCTGAAGTCATGTATCCACAGCATGAGCCTCTGGAGGCACTTAAAGTTCTGCCAACACTTCCCACTCCCACAATATACAAAAAATGGTTCCTAAAAGGCAAGGAAATAGTCTTCACACAAATTATGTTTTTAAACACTATAGCTAGATGTGCTATCCAGAATTAATGCTTGTTTGCTGCCCTATAACTCTTTCCTGAGCGCTGGACCTGTGTATCTAATCTCCTATGTTAACATCCATGTCCAATCCTGTACAAGTTCTAATATGAACTGATTTTCACATTAACTCCAACCTGCATGCCCCATGTTGAAAGGCATCAACCATCCAAAAGGAAGCCTGAGGAAGAAATGGAGCCATCTGTGGCTGCTCCCTCCCTCTACAGCTCACTGAACACCAAATCCAGTCACTTCTATCCCCACCATCCTCTTAGCTCTGACCCTCCTGCTTCTCTCCCTAGTTACATCAATAGTTTTTTTTTCTACTTTCAAGTTCACCTGCACCCTTAAATCCAACTCATCACACTGCTGCCAAATGATCTTTGCAAAAGAAAGACCTGACTGGATCCTTCCTATTTAAACCTCTCATTGCTGGTTCCATCATTTCTAGATAAGATCTAAGCCTCTGAGCAGGATACGGAAGGCCTTGGGCATCTCACTTCAGTCCTTTCTTTGTATCCAGTCAGAAGAACAACTCGAAGCCCTTAAACCCATCCCACTTTCTCACAAATCCTGTTACTCCTCTGCATTTTCAAGTCCCTTCTATGTCTTGTCATTTCACTCAGAAAAAAGCCAAAGGCCATATAAGGGCTTATAAGGTCCTAGGTGTTCTATCTCCATTTACCCCGGTGGCCTCATTGGCCAATTACCCTCTCCCTGGAATTCCAACTACACTGGCTCCTCCCTGTTTCTCAAGCATGCCAATCATATCCCTTCTCCCCAGGCTTTTGCATTTCCTGTCCCTGCTGCCTGGATCATTTTAGTCCCAGAGAGTCACAGGGCTTGCTCCCTCACCTCATCCAGGTCTACCCAAATGTCACCTTCTAAGTGACTTTCTCTAGCAAACTTAGCTAAATTGCAATTACCTCACCACACACACACACCCCTTAGCCTTTCCCTGCTCTATTTTTCTCCTTAGCACTTACCATCACTTGTACTTATTCATCTTGTTTCCTGCCTGTCTCCTTCCACTAGATTATACGATACAAGGGGACAAAGACTCTCCTCTGTTCTGTGCATTGCTGAACCAATCCCCAAGGTCTGGCTTAGAGTAGGTGCCTCAAAACATTTTGGAATAAATGAATAAAAATGTGTTAAAATCAACCCTTCAGGATATAGAGTAGGGTGTGTAAGATCAGGTGCCACCCTCTGTGTTCTCACAATATGCCAAGCATACCTCAATCACAGGACTCAGCACAGAACTCTAATCTTGTCTATTTACATAAGATCTTTGAAGGGATGAGCTATGCCTCTTATATGTGCATTGTGCTGAGCCAGTACCGAGGACTTCTAGAATAAAAAACACAGTGTCTATACCAGTGTTTTCTTGTTAACAAGTACACAACCAACAAATGCTCCCTGCACAAGTAAGTTAGGGAAATGCTGGGCTGAAAAGATTAAACATGTTTCTGTGCTATATCTCAAAAGTTCTAATATGCTAATGTGTATTAGGAATCTGCAAGAGAAGCAACTAGCGTACCATGTTTTTAAACTGACTGGGCCTGGAAACACCTAGGAACATCTTTCAGAACTCCTGTTTTATGAAGCCCATTGGGGAAATGCCTGCCCGTTCAACCTGATGATCTGGAGACAAACACTTGTTCCAAATGCTTTATATCCAAGTCTGCCCCTAATTTATTTTGAATGTCAGACATAGTTAAAATGTAACCAACTAATTTTTGTTTTCCTAGTTGATCATTCATAGCTTTAAAGAGTTATTCCAGTGCAACTCCAAAAAAATCCCATTCCTTTCCTTTCAGCTATGCAGAAAACTAATTAACAGGGACAGCATATGTCACAAGAATGTGGGAGTGTACAAAAGTCTCTTGCAAAAGTTACATTGGCATTCTCAAAGCATAACTATGGTTAAGAACTACACTCTGGGAGACACTGTATAAGTTGAAAAGGATACATAACAAGTGCCTTCTACCTTCAGTGCTTAACCCTATTTGAAAAACTACACATACGTGTGCTTGAAACTACACCCCCACTGGAAGTTCTCGATTTATTTAAAAAAGCACACACAGAAATTAAAGACTTCATATTTAATCTTTGACAGCAGCTGAAAGCTGACAAGTGACTAAAGAGAAGAATACTGAAGGAACTATATTTACTGATGAACAAGAAAAAAGTGTTGCAATTACAGTATTCAGTTTTGCGAACAGCAACTTATTTGAAAAGCTTGATTTTACTCTTTCAATGGCACGTCCATTAATAGCTAAACTAAAATAATTCTGAATTGAAATGAAGACCACATTGAGATAAGTGCAATTCATTCATTTTTTGCTGACCAAGAATCTTCTTATGGATTTGTCAGGCTCATTGTAAACTTGTGTCCAAGTATGTCAGGTTGAGAAGAATGCCTCCAAACTACCAAAGCAAAAAATTATGCATGTATTTTCAATTGCATTTGAAAGTGAAGGTTCACCGAAAACAACCAGTATGTTTGTTATGAGTCCTTTCTGTGGAACACGAAACCACTCATGACAAGGTGCTTCAGGAATTTTAATACACATATCTAGTACCTAGCTCTTGGTTTGTTAAGATTTTGGCTTTTTATTCTTCACTAAAAGGAAGTAGGCTTCTTGGAAAAATGACTGGATCTAGGGCTGAAGATGAAAAAACACAAGATGAGCTTAGACTATCTTGCTGTACTTTTCTAAAAAAAAGTAAAGAAGGGGGGGCGGTGAAGGGGTCAAAGGGGGAAAAAGGGGACATCTGTAATACTTTCAACAATAAAGATAAATTTTCAAAAAAAGTACTCAGAGTGGTGGGGACATGTCAAAAGGGAACAAGAACCCGGCTGGTGTGGCTCAGTGGTTGAGCATC